GCAGCCTCTATGCCCCTGCCTGCCCTGCTCCTCCTCACCCTGCAGCCTCTGCACCCCCCGCGTGCCCTGCTCCCCCGCTCACCAGGCAGCCTCTGCTTGGCGGGGCTTCGGACGCTCAGCAGTGACCGGGGCGGCGCAGGTCCCTGCAGCCCCGGCACACGCCGCACTTCGCGCCCCGCGCTGCAGCCTCCTTCCTGCCGCCGCCAAGCACGTTCCCCGGCCTGTCTGTCCCCGCTGGAAACAGCTCCCGCGATGCCGGGGCCGCAGAAAGGGTCCCCCAATGGCCGGGGGGGTCCCCGCCCGCGAGGAAAGCCCAAGCTGCTGGCTGGGCCCAGCCTCCCCGTGGTCCTGTGGGCTCGGCTAGGGTGCGTTGTCCGCCCGGTCTGCGGGGGCAGCAGCGGCCCCTCCGCCACCTTCTGCGGCTGCGCCCCACCCCCTGCCCGAGCTTGCTACAATGCAGCCGAGGCGGCTGGGCTGTGCTGCGGACCCGGCGGGTCATACTGCGGCCAGGCAGACCCTGGCTTATGCCTCCCTATTTTCCCGGACATGTTCGGCTTTTTGGAAATTCCCTCCAGAGGGGCATTTGAGGACCAAAAAGCCGGACATGTCTGCGGAAATCCGGATGTATGGTAACCCTAAGTTCTCCCTAATTGAGTGACCTCAGCTGGTTCCCACGGGCAGCATCGTCACAGTGGCGTAGTCGTGCAAGGATCCACAGAACTAGGTAAATTAAGCTTTGGGTCAGAACCCCACGCTATCCAAATTTTGGTATTGAGAGTTTGGTTGGTTAAAGAGCAGTTGCAATGGGTGAGCAAAGAGCATATGAGGGTCTTGACAAAAAAGCCCTGGAAGATTTGTATTCAGAGAAAGGGATAAGCTTTAGAAAGAAAGCTACAAATCAAGAACTGAGAGATCTGTTAATGGCCAGTGATCAGGAGGCAGGAGCACAGCCCTTACCTGAGGCTACAGAAGATGCAGAAAAAATTAGAGTGCAAAAGGCAGCAAATAAACTGCAACTTGAGCATGAACGGAATCTAGCAGATCTTCGACTGCTGGAAAAGCAAAAGATAGCTGAATTAGAAAAAGAAGCTGAAGAAAGGAAGACTAGAGCTCAACAGATGCAACAGGAAACGGCCAGGCTTCAGCTATGAGTATTGGAAGAGCAGAGAAAGTCACCACCCCGCCTGGTGCTCCACTTCCCCACCACCACGAGAAAAACTGGATGAGGATGTGTTCTATTTACAATGATACTGAGGATATAGAGGAGTTTTTGTCTACATTTGAACGCCTCTGCAATCTCTACCAGATCCCTGATGATCAGTGAATGCCTGTCCTGCTGACCAGACTGACTGGAAAAGCCAGGGAGGTATTTAATGAACTGGGGGAACAAGAAGCCTTGGATTATGAGTGGTTTAAAGATTCTGTGTTAAGGCGATTCAAGGTTACTCCTGATTCTTACAGGGTTAAGTTTAGAAAGTTTAAAACATCTAATGATTGTTCTTTTGTAGAATGTGCTCATAAGCTGATGGGTTTTGTTTAAAAGTGGGTTGTGAGAGCAAAGGCGCATAGGAGTTTTGAAAAACTGCTGGATTTAATAACTTTGGAACAGTTCTTAGATATTATGCCTGACCATTGAGAGCAGCTGTGTGTGATAGGGACCCTGAGTCAGTTCTACAGGCTGCAGAGGTTGCGGATGCCTATGCCCAAAACAGGGCTCGAGAAGGGAATAAACCCCAGGGGAAAATTAATCACCATTCTCCCCAGTTCAAGAGGAGGGAAGGATTTAAAAGTAAAACTAGCCCTGACTCTTCTAAGCGAACTCATGGGGGCCCAGAGGGCAGAAGCTCTCACCCCAAGAATAAACAGGTTACATGCTATCACTGTGCTGTGCTTGGCCACATGAGACCAGATTGCCCGACCCTGAAGGGCAGTCCAAAACCAGCAACCCCAAATGCCACGGTAAATGCTAATCCTGTTATTATAAACTCACAGGCAAGCCACACAGAGCCCAGAGCTGGTGCTCTGTGTGCAAATGCTGTTTCTATTGTCTCTGAAGAATTTGACCTTAAAACTCATATTAAAGCTAAATATGGGGGAAATCATGCAGAGTTTATTAGCAGTGCAGAAGTGAATGGAGTAAGATGTATGGCATGGAGGGACACCACAGCAGCTATTACTCTGGTTAAAGCAAGTCTTGTCAGGAAGGAAGATTATTTGCCAGGTGAAAGTGTAACAGTTATAGCCTTATCTGAGTATTTTGTCAGGGTGCCTTTGGCTAAAATCCACCTTAAATGGAAGGGATTTGAGGGCATCATGATTGTGGGAGTGAAAAACACAATCCCTAAGGATCTTATGATTGGGAATGATATTAAAGCTGTGTTCAGTCAAGTTAACATAAACCATGCACAGGAGAGGATTAATCCTAAGGTTGTGTCTATGGAGGTTTTCTCCAAAAGTTTGTCTTTGGAAAGTAGCTGTTTAGCTGTGAATGAAGTTTCTGAATGTCTATCTAATGTCTCAGAGATAAATCTGGACTTAGAACAAGACAAGGAAGAGGAGGACAAGATTTTGGAGGAGCCTAGGCAGCCTTGTGAGCTGATGGCTTTGTCTAGTCAGCAGTTTGGGAAGGCAAGGATAGTGGGAAATGAGTGTCCCTATACCTTACCTGTTACCTGTGTGGAGAATTGTGACAGTGAAGGAAATGTGCCTATGTCTGTTGGGGGTAATGACTTGCCTATGGAGGAAGCTATGCTGGTCTCCAGGCAGTTGTCTGTGAACAGCCCTGTGTGCTAGGAGATGGGAAATGAGATCCCAAGCTGTGTGTCTGGTAAAGGAGAATGTGTGTCCAGCTCTTCATCTGTGAAGTAGACAGAAGATGCCTTTCAGCCTGTGATGGTTGAGGGTAATGCAGTTATCTCAGAGTTGGTTCTGGATTCAACTAAAGCCCAGGAAGGGAATGGTCCTAAGTTTGTGTCTGCTAGGGAGAATGGCACTGTAACTAGGTTGCATCCAGTTAGTGTCTTAGCAAAATCCCAGAGATCAGACAATTCTGGTGCTTGTATTTTGCCTGTTGCCAATGTGTGGTTGGAAAAGGATGTAGCAACTCTGTCTGATCAGGGTGATATCCTAGCCAGGGCACAAGAAGAGCATAAAGGTGATTTGATTGTGTTACTTACTGACAGTTTGGAAACTTGTAGCAAGAAGAAAAAGATTCCTGAACTTGTGTGTGGCAAAGGGAAGGAGAATGCTTCTAACCTTTTGACTATGAAATCTAGCCGTTGGCCTGAAAGGGGATTGTGTAGAAATCTGCCTGATGAGCCAGAGGTGATCCTGGATGTAACTGAGATCCAGAAAGAGTCTGTTGTTGCTCAGGAAAGTGTTCCTTTAGAGAGCAAGCCCTAGGTGAAGAGGGTAAGGGCAGAATTTCTGTGAGGGATAAATTGTTGCTTAGAAAAGCCGCTAGGGAAAGGAGTCCTCATGGTAAACTGTACAAGCAGCTTGCTACAACTGAATGGTGTGCAAGTGAGTTAATCAAGGAAGTTTCAGTTCCTAACAGCCAGAAGTTTTCTGTTGTAAATGGATCCACTGACTTTCCTTTTGAAAGATCCAGTGTGGATAGCTTTGAAAAGGTCTCAGATTGTCTCAATCTGTGAATGTTTTGGTAGGGTGCTCAGTGGGTGTCACATACTGGATTGTTAGGGTTGGATGCTCAGTTGGTGTCACATACTGGATTGTTTTGGTAGGGTGCTCAGTGGTTGTCACCCACTGGACTGTTAAGGTAGGGTGCTCATTGGGGGTCAGACATTGGATTGTTAGGGCAGGGTGCTGAGTGAATGTCACCCACTGGATTATTTTGGTTGGGGGCTCCATGGGGGTAGGGTGACCAGATAGCAACTGTGAAAAAACGGGACAGAGGGTGGGGGGTAATAGGCGCCTATATAAGAAAAAGTCCCCAAAAACGGGACTGTTCCTTTAAAAACGGGACATCTGGTCATCCTACGTGGGTGTCACACAATGGATTGTTTTGGTAGGGTGCTCAGTGGGTGTCACACACTGGATTTTTCTGGTATGCTCCTCAGGGGATGTCACACACTGGGTTGTTTTGGTAGGGAGCTCAGTGAGTGTGACACACTAGATTGTTTTGGTTTCTTTACCATGAAAGTGCAACTTACAAATGTAGATTTTTTTGTTACTGTTAGGATATAGATATTCAGGCCTGTCTGTAAAGGCCTATACTTTAAGAATTTAGGTGTATTCTTATCACTTAGCTAGTAATAGAGGTATAAAAGAAAGAATCAAAATCACTTTCTGTATGTGTAAGAGCCTTCTCTCACTGTAACGGTCTGAGGCCTGGTTCTTAGGCTAAGGCCTTCAGCTAAGCAGCAGGGGCAGCCATAAACTGGGAAATGTATGGTCACATCCTCACATTCCAAACTAGTCACATGGAAACAAGGTGCTATTGGGCTGTTAGGAATACAATCCTGTTCTGATATTCCTATCGTCTCCAGAGAAAGGAAAGAGCCTAGAAGATATAAAAGGAAACTTAGGTTGATAGTTTTCTGTCTGGTAAGAACTCACTTATCAATAGACACAGCTGGAAAACGCTTATGTCTGTATAGATGTAGTTGTGAAATCCTGACTTCTGTATTGTTTTGTATGTTTATTTGCATGGTCTCTGTCTGGTTCTGTAATTGTTTCTGTCTGCTGTATAATTAATTTTGCTGGGTGTAAACTAATTAAGGTAGTGGGATATAATTGGTTAGCTAATCATGTTACAATATGTTAGGATTGGTTAGGTAAATTTTAGTAGAATGATTGGTTAAGGTATAGCTAAAAATATTACTATATAAATTAGGGGCAAACAGGAAGTAAGTTGGGATTCGAAAATAAGGAAAAAGGAACTTGGATTTAAGCTTGCTGGAAGTTCACCCCAATAAACATCGAATTGTTTGCACCTTCGGACTTCGGGTATTGTTGCTCTCTGTTCATGCGAGAAGGACCAAGGAAGTGTGAGAGTGAAGGAATAAGCTCTCTAACAGTTACATAACTGCACTCAAAACCAAAACAATGTAAAACTTTAGAGCCTACAAGTCGGCTCAGTCCTACTTCTTGTTCAGCCAATCGGTAAGACAAACAAATTTGTTTACATTTACAGGAGATACTGCTGCCTGCTTCTTATTTACAATGTCACCTGAAAGTGAGAACAGGCGTTCGCATGGCACTTTTGTAGCTGGCCTTGCAAGGTATTTAAGTGCCAGATATGCTAAACATTCATATGCCCCTTCATGCTTCGGCCACCATTCCAGAGGACATGCTTCCATGCTGATGATGCTTGCTAAAAAAAGAATGCATTAATTAAATTTGTGACTCAACTCCCTGGGGGAGAATTATATGTCTCCTGCTGTTTTACCCGCATTCTGCCATATATTTTGTGTTATAGCAGTCTCGGATGATGACCCAGCACATATTGTTCATTTTAAGAACACTTTAGCTGCAGATTTAGCAAAACGCAAAGAAGGTACCAATGTGAGATTTCTAAAGATAGCTACAGCACTCGACCCAAAGTTTAAGAATCTAAATTGCCTTCCAAAATCAGAGAGGGATGAGGTGTGGAATATGCGATCAGGAGTCTTAAAAGAGCAACACTCACATGCGGAAATTACAGAACCCGAACCTCCAAAAAAGAAAATCAACCTGCTGCTGGTGGCATCTGACTCCGATGATGAAAATGAACATACGTGGGTCTGCACTGCTTTGGGTCATTATTGAGCAGAACCAGTCATCAGCATGGACGCATGTCCTCTCAACAGGGCTGGCTCTGGCTTTTTTGCCGCTCCAAGCAAAAAAAAACAACCCTGCAGGACGGCTGAGCGGCGAAGCAACAAAAAAACAAAAAATGTGCAGGGAGGCCGGAGACAGGGTGCAAACTTTCGGTGCCACTTACTTGGTGGCTCACGGCTGCCTCCCCCGGCCGCGCTGGCTAGCGGGACTCCCTGCGCTGCAGACGTGCCCCGGGCAGCGGAGTACATGCCCCGGCTAGCGGGGGGCGGGGGGGGGAGCGTGGGGGAAAAGAGAGAAGAGGGGTGGCCAGTGCTTCCTTCAGCCGGGGCACTCGCCATTCGGCCCCTCCTGCCGCGCCGCCTGCAGGTGAATTGAGGGTCAGCGGGGAGGGAAGGACGTGGGCTGCCAGGCTTGCTGCAGACCTGGAACCAGCTAGGGTAGACGGAGCGTGCAGCCTGCTCCCAGCAGGGCGCTCCCCTCCTCCGCGCCACCGCCCCCTACAGGGCGGCCGGAGTGGCGAACCAAAAAAAAAAGGGCGGCCGTGCTACCCTAGGATTGGACGGAATGCCGCCCCTTAGAATCTGC